GGCCCCGGGGATGCCTCCGCCGCCGCTGCAGGGATGCACGCCTGCAGCCTCCGGCTCCCCGCAGCCGCATAGCCAGGCCCTCAGCCCGAGCGGCCGGCGATGGACGCGGTGCGGGGGTGGGGAGGGGGGGCCCCCGGGTACACCGCGCAGAGTGTTATAGACCGCCCCGGGGCATCATGGGGCTTGTAGTCTGCCTCGTGGAACCGAGAGTATGGAGTGACCGGGGAAGGTCTCACTGTGGGTCTCATTTCCTGAGAAGATGGACAGGGAAATGACAGTGCCCTAACTCCAGGCGGGGCTGGGGCAGGGCCCCATCCTCCGACGTTTTGCCTTTTTCAGGAGAGCCAGAGGGCTCAGGACCTCACTCAGCAGTTTTTGGGTGGAGATGGTCCTTCAGAATTAAGCTTAGGTCCCAAGACCTAAGAAGGATCTGGATGCCAGAATCGTGACAGAGACTCTTGGGAAAGATGCAAGGATCATTAGAGCAGCCAGGGATCTGGTTGAAATATTCATCTGGGATCTTGCCTGACCTCTTGGAAAATTAAAATCCATCTGCCACATATGATATTGAAAATAGAATGTATGTCCAGTAGAGCGGAAAGGACATCGCTTCCTCCATACACCTGTGCTCGGTTAAGAACAAGGGTGAGTCTGGGCAGAGAATGCAGCAGGTGGCAGCTTCCACTGCGCTGGACTCTGGTCGAAGGAAGTGACTCCTCCTGAAATGACCCAGGGCAAACAGGTCCTTCCAAAAGAATCCCTTTCAGAGAGTGTGGTGAAAGTGGAATCAGCTCTTTGGCTTCCAATTGCAAGGACTGAGAAGGATCAAGAAGTTTAGCTCAATCCTTGGACTTCGATATCAGAGAGAGACTTGAGTTCAAATACCTCCCTACCAATTACTAATGGCTTACCATTTTCCCGAGTTTCTCAGTCCATTTGTAAAATGAGACTGGATACTATCTTCCAGGGTGAACTAAGGATAACAAATGCCCTGGAAACCCCCTCCCTCTTGCAGCCAGGTGGACTGAGAGCCTTCTTGAGTCCACCTTTAAAACAAGGCAGGAATAAGGGATTCTACACCAGCTCCAGCAATGCAAGAAGTGTTGTGTAGGAGGTGCCAGCAAAAGCCTGCAAACTCCCCCCCCCCCTTCCTCAGGTTTGTGGTTTTCTTGTTTTTGTTTTAGATGTGGTCCTCTCCTCTGCCTCCCCCACACTCTGTGGTGCCAGGCATCCAGAGATTACGGATGGGGAAGGAGAGGACTGACTGCCTCGCCCCATTCTCCAGTCAGGGAGGAGCCTGTAGCTCAGGGCCACTGCCCACTTTCACCACCAGGGGTCAGCAGAGCGTCGTGACTGCAGCCAGATTTGGGGAGGGGGCTAAGGTTGGGGGTGGGGAAAGAGGGACAATTAGGAGTGGCCAGAAGAATGCCTGTACCGTTTCTCATTAAACTGTTTTTAGAACCCGGTGTGAGATTCCACTTGAGCTATCCTGCTTCCAGCGGTGGTGACATCTCCACTGGGAAATCCAGAAACCCTTTATCTGCAGCTTGGCTGTGACGAGGCTGAAGGTTGAGGAACAAAGTTTTGGACTGTGTGTCTATGCTTAGGGCCACTCCCAGGTAGTCTCCTGGCCAACCAGAAGATAGGTTGAATCATCCTTCCTGGAGCCCAAGACACAGGGAGCTCTACCTGGGTTTGGAGGACAGCCCTCTTTTTGCCAGGCAGCCCTTCACACTAAGCCTAGATCGCTTTCCCTTTGATCTGAGCGCTCAGGCTTGCCACGTGCTTGAGACGCGCCCACACAGCCGAGAAACAAAGACAGCCTAGCGGCAGGGCTGCCAGCAGCCGCCTTGACATTTAATAAATGAAATTCCATAGCTGGGGGTCGATCGGGGGTGAACAGGCGGCCACCGCTTGTGGGCTGCGTGCCCGGCTTGAATTGCCAGGCCACTCCTCCAATCCCCCTCCCTCGCAGGCGCCACTAAAACCAGGGACTCCTCGGTGTGAGTGCAACACCCCGGGCAGGTGGTGCTCCCACACACACCCAGGAGTTCTCTTTGCCTTAGAGAAGCTCCACCAGCTTAGCCGCTGCGGGCGGGGTGGGGGGAGGGGGAGGGAGGAGAGAGGCTGCAAGAAGAATTTTTTTTTAAGGTGTGACTATAAATATATCCTGTGGATCGCGATTTCAAACAAACTTGTCAATCTGGGCTGCAGCGAAAGGCGATGAAGGCTGCTTTGCCCTGTATTTCCCGTGGTGTGACTCACAGCATTACTTGTCTCACCTAGGGAAGGAGCCTGCCGGCCCGCAAATCACGAATGTTTGGGTACTGCTGAGATCTCGACCCACTTAGGCACCTGTACCCAAGGGCTCCCCCCTACCTCTGCCCTGTCACTAAGCAGGAATCCCCCCCCCCGCCTTTACTGTGATGGGGACTGGGGGGGGAACCCACGTGCATCCTGAATGTTAGCTCTGCCCTCCACCATGACCCTCTGTGTGAAATCCAGGAAGCTCGTGTGGGTTATATACACCTGTTCTGGATGCACCCCCTTCTGGTAGCTCAGGAGCTGTGGGAACAAGGAAGATGACAAATGGATATTAAGTGCACACGAAGTGGTCTTCCTCGGGCTTGTAGCAAGGATGTAAGGATGGATGATCGCTGTATTAAAAAGTCCAAAGGCACGAGGACACACTGCATGCACCTCTCGAGCACCCGGACTTCCATGTTGTTGGCGGCATGCACACTCAGCAAGGTGTGACCAGCGATCCACCAAGACACACATGTGAACACATGGAGCTAGGACGTACACCTTACCCCAACCAAAGACAGACGGGCAACCAAGGGTCCAATCCGTTTGACGGGGCGGGGCCCTAGGCCTGTGGCTCCTTCTTCTCATCCCGGTCCTCCCCCCACCCCGGATTACCCCCTCCCCCTTCCCCCACCCGCTGAGAGTTAAGGGGCCAGGGCTATGAGGGTGACTCACAATGCCTCTGGACGAGGGGAGCGCCGGAGCACAGCCCAGGGCCGCAGACCACGCCGGCGGCGGCCGCGGCCCCTTTAAGCGCTCCCGCCCCCTCCAGCCCGCGCGCCCGGCTTCCTTTCTCCGGGAGG